GAGGCTACGCCTCCTCTCTTAGGGACCACGATGATCTTCTGCGAGCCGGCCGCCGCCGCCGCTGTCCACGCGCGCGCACCCTGAGGGAGGCGCCACCTGCCGTGGAGATGCGAGCGTGACAGGATTGCGCGATAGGGGCGCCTCGTGGCGGAGATGCCGCAGCTCCGCGCCGCGCTGTTGTGTGAGGGGGCGGCGGCCCCCGAGGGAAGCGCGGAGGCCGTGGCTCGCTTCGCCTCTGGTGAGGCGCGGGCACTCGTGTGCACTGCGGCGGCGGCACGAGGACTCGACTTCCCGCGGTTGCGGCATGTCTTGCTCTTCGATATGCCCAAGGACGTCGCTGGTTTTGTGCACTCCGCGGGTCGCACGGCGCGCCGAGGAAAGGAGGGGCTCGTCACTTGCTTAGTCGAGTCGGGCGCTGAGGTGCGCTGGGCAGACCTGAGGGAGGGGAGGCTACGTCCCAACCACAACCTCTCACGTGTGGCTCTCTCGTGTGGCACAGGTTGGTCGCTTCCGCCAGCTGCACGCGCTCCTACCTGCACGTGCGCTTGAATTCTCTGCAGCGCCGGCCAGCTGACAGAGCACGACGTGTATCTAGAGCGCCAAGAGTGTAGGGTTTGTCCATTGCGTATATTACCCTTCAGCAGATGAGTGCGGGCGGCGCCAAACGCGAGCCGAGCAGATCTTCAAATCACAAATCAAAGATGACCGGACACTCTCCGCAATAAGAGACCTGACTGCACTCTGCAGACCCTGGACTGTTCGAGAGTAGAGTGTTCTCAGCTCTAGTTGACACCTCTCGTGTTTATTAATTAAGGTAAAAATGAGCGAAGACGCCCCCATTGAAGGGGCATTGTGCACCTCCATGGGACGCGGCCCGTTGCCCCGCATTAGCGTATACGCCGCACGTGCGCCGCCCACGCTCGTCTTCGTGAGTAGAGGGAGCGGACCGTGAGTTGAGGAAATTGGAGGACGCGACCCACTTCGCCACAGACGGCCCCGCGCCTCGCCGCTAAGACGGGGACACACCCCGCACCGTCCGCTGTGTCCCCGTCTTTGTCCGGAGTGAAAAGTCCAACGCGCTCGTCGGTGACGGCTTCCTCCAACCTGCGCCGCGCTCGGCGAACCTCGACAGCGCTTTCGGTGGCATGCAGCTCTTTGCGCCTGAAGCTTGGAGAGCAGCTCCTCTGCTGCTCACACGCTCTGCACAGACGGCACAGCCTATTGTGCGACTGCCACAGCTGTGACAGCGATGGGCTCGCCCTCACTGGCCCTCAGTCACTTGTGCTGCGGCTTGTGTGAGCGACACTGCTCGGTGACTGCCGGCACACTGTGAGACCATGGGTGTCAAGGTAAACCACGCTACCAGCGCTTGGTCACATCGGCCCCGAGGTCAGATCCTTCTACTCTCTTAGTGACAAGACTTGTCTACTGGCTGGAGCCGAGCAGGAGGGCCCGGCGCACAACCCCTGGTCAACTCAGGGTCCACACCCCGTAGAGTACGACTAAATCATGCGCCCGGATAAAGCGTAGGTGTGGGGGCAACCCTCCCTCTCCGCTCTCCCTGGGATGGCCGAGGTGGGGCCCTCGGCCTCGCGTCGATGTGGGGTCGGGGACTAAGGTTCAAGCGGTGGGCTGGGGGTGGGCTCAAAACTTCAGCCAATCTGTCCGACTGAGCCGGGACGCATGGCCCAGAGCGGATTGTGAATGAGCTTGCCTGCGGCGAGGCGGTTGAGTGCACGGAGCTAAAGTGCCTCGCCGTTCCGCAGGAGTCGCTTAGGCGGCTCCCGTGGTGTACCTGTGTTAGTGCCAGTGCGCGCCAAAAACCCTGCCCAGTGTTGGTGCACGGAGCTCGTAAAAAAGAAAGAAAACACGCAAACCAAGGGAGGGATGGGAGGGGCACGCCGCCATAACTGCTGCTAAGTATGCACAGAATTCTTTTTCACGGCTCCGGTGGTGTGCCGGTGATAGTACTAGCACGCGCCAGTTCGCACCTGTGTCGAGCCTGTCTGCTGTGAGAGAGAGTTCTTTTGTTTAAATTCTTTTCCACCTCGAGGCAGAGAAGCCCGCGTG